CCCTGACATTCCCGTGAGATGCAGAATGTTTCTGGGAAAGCAGCCTAATCAGATTGTTTTTTAAAGCCTAAATGGTTAACTACATGAATTTTAGAATCAGATCAGAACGGCATGTGTCTTCCATGACCACTCCTCCTGGTCTAGTCTGAAATGACCATGTTCACTTTCTGCTGGTTCCAGGCCAGTTGGGGGTTGTGGGGGCTTAGCAGGACCACAGCCCCAGACGGCTCTGTGCTGGTAGTTTCAGGGAGGGGACATGTACTGCCATGGAGTCCTGGATTGCAAGCTGTCAATAAATTGCCAAGTACTCACAGTTCCTCTATAAACTAGAATCTTCTCAGCTTGACTTAGCTACTGCAGTTCACAGGAAACAAAACATACTTTCTAGTTGAGATGAAATAGTTCTGAGTGTTTGTTAGCATTTCTCAGCTGGCCTGTAGTCTGAAGCACCTCATATACCCACCCAGAGGTCTGTGGAAACCTGAGCTTTTCCTGGCCCTTTGTAGTTGGCATGAGGGTGACTCCTGCCAACCTTCCTGCCAAACAGGAAGGAACAGAGCAAGGAAGCAGCAGGGTGTTCAACTCTGTTTACTGATTTCAAAAGGCCCTTTGGCAAAATCTCGTGTATTGGGCAGCCAAGAGATGTGAATTGGACAGGCCACCTGAGACTTTGGGTATTAGGTGATTATGATGATGATGATGAAATATATAAAGTAGATGACTTCATTTCAAAAGATAATTGGAATCACCCTCTACTTCAGCTCTTTCTACTCTTGACACTCTGCATGGCCTTGAGAAAACAGCTTTTTCATTGCTGGCTCTAAGTAAATGGAAACTACTCACTTCTGCCTCCCTCCCTCCTTTCCTTTCATTCATTCAATAGGTAGCCTGTTTATCATGAGCCAGGCCAAAGGGATAAAATGGCAAATAAAACATGCTTGATTCTAACCTTCATAGTGGTTATGTGTTGATTCTCCTCCATACACCCCTTTTGACCTGGAGGAGGGATCCAAAGGCTGGGGGAGCCATCCCAGGATTAAGGACCCATTCCCCCATGTAGGAAAAAGTTTTTCACCTCTAGTGCCCTACTTTTCTCCTATAAATGTGAAAAAGGAAAAAGAAGGTGCATCAGCAGATATCTACTGCGTGCCTACTCTTTGCCCAGCTTTGAGGCTCTGTAATCTGATTGGGTCACCCAGGCTTCAGGACCCAGCACTGATTTGTCATTTAGTGCAGCCTGGGGGTGGGGCAGCTTGGCCTGGAATAGAAGAGCTGTCTCCAGATATCTCTAAGCCTTTCCTGTGGAAGAGGGGGTGTTCTAGGGGAATAACAAGGTTACCGAGTTGAACTTAGAAAAAAGGTTTAAGTCTGTAAAAAGACAAATATTATAAATTGGTGCTTTCTGCAAGTGGGGTTAACTAACTGGAAGAGTTAGCAAGTGCCACATCTCTGGAAGGCCTTTAGTAAAATCAGACCTGGAGCACGAGTTGGGATTGTATGACCTGTGAGCTCCTAATTCAAAATTCTGTGCCTGGAAGAACTCTGAAGAAATAACTGGGAATTATCCTACAGATAGACTTGCACACGTGTACAAAGATGTGTGTAGAACAGTATTTATCGTAGCACTGTTTAAAATGAGAAAAGATGGAAAACTCCACATGCGTGCATGAGGTGACTGGTTATAAAAATTATTGTACCCATTTAAAAAAAAGTTCCTTATTGAACTGTGGAAGGAACTCCACAATGTATTATTAAATGAAAAATAGTATGGGGGATGGAGTACATTCAGACATTTGATTACATGGGAATAGATCTAGAAGGATACTGGAGAAACTGGTTATACTGGTTTCCTTTAGAAAAAGAACTAGGCAGCTGGGAGACAAGTAGGAAGGAGACTTTCTCTGAATAACCTTTTGTATCTTGAATTTTGAATTATGTGGATATATTAACCATCAAAAATAAATATAAGTAAAAATATTTTTTAAAACTTTAAAAATAAATTTTACTGTGCCAGAGCACTGCAGACAGAAGAGGGGAAATGGAAAGCACACTAACCTTTTGTTTAGCATCTTCAGCTGGATGTTTTGTGTACATGATACCTTTAGTCCACACAGCCCTGTAGGAGACAGAATCTATCCCCATTTTTGTAGGTTTAACACGGAGGCGTTGGGAGTGTTAAATGTGCTTGCACCATGCTGCCTCCTTCAGACATTTTCTTCAAGGAGCAGTGCAGACCTGTCGTGCTGCCAGCCGGCCTCTGGGCTAGTAGGTAGAGGCACATCCTCCATTTGCTACATGGGTCAGGTCATGTTTCCCTTTGCTTTCACTGAGCTTAGGGATGAAATTTGCAGAGTGTAAACAGGCAATCAGTGCCTGAGCCTGCAGTCATTTTGTGGCTGGAGAATACCTTCCTGTGCTCTTCTGCTGGGTGTCAAATGTGCCGTCTTTGTCTGCCAGCTGCAGGCTGGCTGGGGAGTTGTTTTTTTCTGATTGTCAGACCCAGGTTCCTTACTTGCACTTAAAGGAAAAAGCTTCCAAGGCCTGGTACAAAAGGTCCTCTCTCCATTTCTTTGGGGAAAAAAACAGCAAATGATCTCATTATCACTGCAACCCAGAAAGGAGGAGGGGAGGAAGAGAAGTGGCTTCCTCCTCATTGCACCATCTTGCCCCTGGTCAGATTTCCTGGCGTGGGGGGCTTGGATCTGGCTCAGGGAGACCAAAGCCAGCTGGTTGGGACAGGTAGTCCGTACGGGGGCAATGCTAGAGACATTGGACACTTTGGTCTGGAGGAAGGACTAATGTCTGCACCTTTCTTATCACTGAAGGCGGAGCTTGCTGTCCTTCAGGGAGTAAAAGATCCTCCATTCAGTGTTATGTGCCCTCCTCACCTTTGCTTCCAAGAGGTTCCTGTGTTCAGGTGCTCTGTTTGTCTCAGCTCTAGAAATTGGCCTCACACCTCAGACCTGGCAGTCACACAATGTTTGTTATCTGTTGAGTGCAGTCCCAGGCACTGCTCTAGGCACTTGGGGTGTAACGTGGGGCAAAGCTGGCAAAGTCTCTACTCTCATGGAATTAAAATTCGAGCATGAGCAGTGAAATGTGCCAGGTCTGTCTTGCTCTTTCCCCCTCTGCCCAATCTCTGCCCTGTCTGGGAAAACGGGGGGTGGGGTGGGGAGCAGGGGTGTGTGTGTGTGTGTGTGTGTGTGTGTGTGTGT